TAAGAATAAGTAGAGCCTAAATCGAATAGAACTGATACACTTCTATAACAAACCACGACAATACCTGTGATGACAGAATCGGAGGCAACAGTCTCGGTACTGGTAGGTGGGGTAGCAACTGGGGTTGTAACAATAGCCTGAGAACTCTGCGGGGCGCGCTGTGGCCGAGAAGTCTGTGGAGGTGCACTCCTCCCAAGTCTAGGGCAATACCTCACCACATGGCATATGTCACCACACTCAAAGCAACCTCGTGACTGACGTGGCAGTGGGAACTGTGCGGTACGGGTACTCTGAGACTCCTGAACACCTGTAACTCTATGTGAACTCTGAGATGCAAACTGAGCTGGCTGACCCATAAAACCTCTACCATGCCGTACTCTCCCTCCAAAATAAGGACCAGTATATATCTCAGGTCTACGAGGTCTACTCACCCCTCTATACTCTCCCTCCTGACCTCGTCTGTCCTCTCTCTCCTGGGCCCACCTGTCTCCTACTTGGCGAGAGGTCCTCACCACCCGCTGAACTGGGACCACAGGCTGTGTCGCCATGATGTCTGGAACCTGACCAATGGGAACTTGCTGCTCTAGAGTGGGGGCGGCGGGAGTCTGGGTCCCTCCCCCAATCTGTGAAGTAGTCGGTACAACCTGAATCAATCCCGCCTGAATCAACGTACCAAACATGCTCAGGAACTGCGCCAAAGTCTCCTGAAGAGCTGGAGCAGTAGTAGCCGTAGGCGTATCAGGTGACTGAACTCCGGCTGGATCTGTTGATGGTACCTCGGCGGCAGCTCGCGTAGGTGCTCTCTCTGCACCACGGGCGCGTCCTCGGCCTCTACCCCGGCCCCGGCCTTTGACGGCTGCAGTAGGGAGCGCGGGTGCCTGATCATCTCGAGTAGCACGTGTCCTCACCATCTGTGAGAGAATAGAAGGCAGGAGTTTAGGATTGTGATGTTAAAAATCTCGCACGACAGGGAATCAAATGAAGTGAAATTTTCCTAACGGTTACATAGTCTTTCGTAGATAAGTACAGACGTCTCCGTACCGATCAGCGAGACTCTAATAAACCGGCATGTGTTTCCGTGACTCCTATGAACCTAGAGCTCTGATACCAACTTGTCAGGACCCCAAGTTCACCCTCCATGAACATGTCGTGATGGCACCTAGTTCCTACAACTAGGTAAGCCTAACAGTGCGGAATAACAGATTAACTTTTTTTTTGCGGAATAATAAATAAAAACTGATTATACGAAATAACAACTGTATATGAGGCCACTCGGCCAATACAACTCAAAAATATGCGGAAGTCTACAACTAAATCCCAAAACCCGAAAACTCACGGGAACCATAGGCTAACAGAAACATAGTACGCTGCTCTAACTCCAAAATGTCTAAGCAACTCAGAGAAAAGAAATAAACTAAATACTAAAGCTGGAACAGAATAGAGACTCCTGGTCTGTGGATGCGGCAGATATACCTCGAAGTCTCCGTGTATCTCCTCGCCTCAAGGATAGTGCGCCTGAGTAGAGGTACCTAGATGATTTGCACATGAAAACATGCGCAGGAAGAGGCATGAGTACACCACAGGGTACTCAGTAAGTGCCAAGCCTAACCTCGGTTGGGTAGTGACGAGGAAGGTCAGGGCCCCTACTGAGACAAAATATAATAATAATGATGATTAACAGTACCAAATCAGACAGAAATAATAAATACGACAGTGAGATAAGGCAAATCAACGGGGCAATAACAACTACAAAAGACAGAGTAAACACAGAGTAAATACCGCTCAATATCAATGATAGCAATGAGGTTCTCCCAGGATAGCGTCATGTAGCCCTTTTCTCAACTATCCAGTGGATCTCCCGGGATACCGTCCCGTAGTCCAACTCATGTACCAAACCGAAGGATCTCCCGGGATATCGTCCCGTAGTCCAAACCATCAATGTGAAGGGGGGGGGGGGATCTATCGGGAATCTAAACAGCAATCCCAAAGTAAAAGTGCATGGGGATCTATCGGGAATCTAACCCGCAGTCCCAAAGTAAACAGACAAGGGGGGGAGGGGGAGCTACCGGAATCCCACATCCGTAGTCCCAATGTAAATGCGCAACCACAACCAGAAATATACCAAGAAATGAAGTACGAAATACAAACACAGATAGAACTAGCCTAGCATGCTTCACGTAGAACAGTCAAAACAACTTAAGCAATTAGGCAGTCAAGTAAGCTAAACATGCTTTTCCTAATCTAGCACAAGTTATAAATTCAAGTAGAGTAAGGCAAGTAAGAAAGAAACTAAATCTCAATAATTTAAGTAAAAACCGGATTTTNCAAACTGAAGGAGGGAAACAAAGTGTTAATGTGAATCATGCAAGTAAAGTTATAGCTGGTAGAGTACAAAACCAGTCAGCTGGGAAGGTAGGACAAATTCAAGGTGAAATTGTAAGTAGTGTTGATGGTGCAGCAGATCATATTGCAGCATCACTTTCTACAGGTCCACGATCAGCTTATGTTAGTGCCCAAACTGCAGCAGGTGATACAGGTATTGGTGATGTTCCAGTTGCAGCAGTTCTTGCTAGAGTGTCTCATGACCTAAAGGCTGCTAAAGATTCTTTGAGTGATCGAGTTTCAACTGGGGTTATTGAAGGTCCAAGTACTATGCAAAATCCAATGGAACTTGGAAACCAAACCATTAATAGACAAGGCCAAAGTCATGTACAGAATGTAGCAACTGTAGGTGATAGAATTTCAGCAGGAGTTCCTAAAGGTTCAGTTACTGAACCTGGGCAATTTCAGCATGTTGCTGGGGCATCAGGGATTCAAATTGGTAATGATCAAGATGCTAAAGCTGCACGTGAAATAATTGAAAAACCAGCAGTGGGTACACCTACTGCTGTTGCATTGGATACTAATATTGATCGAGCTATATTCAGCAATGTTAAACAGGCTGCTGCAGATGGTATTGTTGAAAAATCAGCAGGTCTTAAGGATATAGTTGTGCATGTTGAGGAGGGACAACTTAACACTCCAAGGCAATTTGCTACAGCCCCAAGCAAGTCAATTACAAAGAGCAACAACTGGACAGTGGTGAATAAATCACCTAGCAAGAAGCAATCTCCAGGTGTGCAAAATCAGATTTTACCATCAAATGCCATTGGGATCTCGAATTCCTTTGATGCTTTGGTCAATGAGAGTGAGCATGATATGAACGAGTCTAAAAATAAGGAGCAACAGAGGGGTGATGAGATACAATCAGTGGATGGAAAAACCAGCCTTACAGGCAATGTAAATCAACAGAATAGTGCAAAGGAAATAGATGCTAGACTTGGGATTGCAACAGATAAAATTTCCAACACAGAACTAGCTAAAATGGTACAGAATGCCCAGGCAGCTATGATGATGAACACAACTCAAAAAAACGGGCAACCACAAGCTCCAGGCAGTAACACACAGCAGCAAATTTCCAAGAACACAGGTGGTCGACAAATTATTTCGAAGGACATTATTCCTGTTGATGCGCAAAAGGCAGAGGCACACAGTTCCAATGCACCTACATTGCATTTTTCCAACCCTCAAGTAGAACAAATTATCAAAGATGCTCAGAATGAAATGATGATGAATTCTACTGTGGTTAAACAACCTTTGGTCACATTGAATACCTCAGTATTTGATGTACCTTCTCAGTCAGTGGAGTCCTTAGGGGAGTTCAAAGGTCTATCAACTGGAAACAATAATGAAATAATCCAAGCAAAGGTGAGGGGGATGGCCATCAAATCTAAGCTTTGGTTAGACCAACGGGAGGAGGATGATGAAGAGGATTGGGGTGATGGGTTTGTAGGCTACTCGTCTGAATAAGGGGAGCAGGAAGTCGATCAGGAGAGTGCAGGCGATGAGATTGATCCTCCAATAAAGCCAAAACTTCATGGTGCAACTTCATCCAGCCCCACGACCAAACTGAACTTTCATGCTCCTGCCTTTATCCCCAGAAATTCTCCAGTTACTGTCAGTCCAAATGCAGCAGCTGGAACACTAGTTCAAGTTGTAAAATCCAAACAAAACACTCTAGGTATTACTAGTGTGCAGCAACAGCAAAGCAGCAGCAGTCCAATGACGGGGCAGCAGCAATTAGTTACAACCAGTCCAGTCATCTCATTAGAGGATAGGAAGCTATTGGATGCAATGGCAAATTCCAATCCAATAAGCTCGTTAATTCCAACTGTTGGTAGTACTGGACGAATGAGTATGAAGCAGAAATAAAATGCAAATCACAGAAAAACAACACAGCAGGGCAATCGTGGTTAAATCACAAGAGGAAAACACATTGGTGACACAAAGTTTTGTTCAAGACGTGCCAAATCTGGTAATTTCGGGCAGAGATACATATGTAGAGGGTGAGGAAGATGATATTTTAAACAAATGCATGGCAGAGGCAGCAAGAAAAGGTGATTTATCACCTATGCATAGTGGAAAAAATAAGAAGTCTCGTACAAGGGATAAAAGTTGGAACGGTAGGGTCAATGAAGATGTAAACGTAAGGCGACTACCAATGAGAGTTGCTAAGCAAAGACAGGCCATCCAAACTACATCAACAAAGTCCAATCGTTCAAAGAAGAAAGCATGAAGTTTGAAGACATTTTAAAGAAGGTAGAGGATGAAGACAAGCAAATACAAATTGAAGATTTCACAACAATAAAGAAGGGAGCACATTACTGTTCTTTCTACATATTTTTATTCTATCATCACATTAGTATTGTTCTATGTAATATCATCACAGAGAATGTTATAAACTCTGTGATGATCATAGAATATTTAGTTTTAGCTAGTTCATTTTTTCTTCATGCTTGTTAGTAGGTGAGGCTTTTTATTTGCCTCATTAGGATTAGTAAGGTAAGGTTTAGCTTAGTTTGTGTTGCACTGGCCCTATGCCTTTGGAAAGATATCCAAATGGCCATGAGTTATATGCCCTCGTGAGACTTTGCCGGCAGCTACACTATGATTCCTCTACATGAGGCTGCCATATGGGCATTGTGAGGCGCAGAGGAGTGATTATATGGCCAAGGCATAAAGGCAACACTACTAGTGCTATTGTCCCCCTTATTTGTACTTTTCCTATGTGGTTCTTTTTTCTTTTTAGTTATTAATAAAACTAGCCCTAGGCACCTGCCTAGTGGATTGCTTAAAAAAAAGTAATGATCATTGGAAAGCAATAACTAGAGTACTTGGATATTTAAAATATAGAAAACATTTGGGCATTTGCTATACTGGTTTTCCCACTGTTTTAGAGGGATATTCTGATGCAAGTTGGATTACCAGTGTTAATGATAATAAATCCACTTCAGGATGGATATTTACTTTGGGAGGTGGTGTCATTAGTTGGGCATCCAAGAAACAAACTTGTATTTCTCATTCTACTATGGAATCTGAATTCATAGCATTAGCAGCTGCTGGGAAAGAAGTAGAGTGGTTGAGGAACATGTTATTAGATATAAAGTTGTGGCCACAACCTATGCCAGCCATTTTTTTATTTTGTGATAGTGAGACTACCATGTGTGCGGCTCACAATAAGATATATAATGGGATTAAGACATATAAGCCTGAGGCACACTTATATAAGAGAATTAGTCACAAACGGGACTATAACTATTGTGTATGTGAGATCGAATAAGAATTTGGCAGATCCACTTACTAAACCATTGACGAGAAATGTAGTACAACAAACTTGTGAAGGAATGGGGCTAAAACCTCTAAATTGAATACAAACGACAGGAACCCAACTTTGAGTTAGTAACACTCTAACAAAATAAGTTCAATGAGGTAATAACAAGTTGTTTTGTATTGCTTAAGCACTTATCTCCTTTCGGAGCCTTAATTCTAATGTACTACATATTGTTATGGGAGGAGTGAAGAAGTTGTTAAATATCTGAAATAACTAGGGAAAAATAACAAACTTCATGGGGCAAACTGTTACACGAAGAGGTGAATTAAATCTTATTGAAATTAGTAAATGTTTGTAGTAACAGGAACATTGTAGCTAATTTCACCTATATGAATATTGAAGTGGTGCCACTTCAAGCAAGGTTTAAGGGGTTGATCTTGTAAATATTCATGAAGTCAGGATGAGCACATGGCCATAAACGTGCTAAAGCAAATACTGGATTTTCTTAGCCACTGTATAATATTGTGCGTGTGATATTTTCGGTTTTGATACAAGGAGTTGCGGTTCAAACCTTTTATGGTACCAATAACTTCGTCAAGACTTTAAGATATTTACACTAATGCAAAGTTCAAATCAAAATAAAATACTCTCCAATATGCGTAATATTATGAGAAATATAAGAAACTAGTGGAGGATTGAAAGATAGTTTGTTATTAATGTTGGAAAAGTGGGCTTGTCCCACATCGGTGGTGCAAGGCCACTTTGTGTGCCTTTTAAGTCCTTGTCCTTTTATGTGTTTAATTTAGAACACATACTCTTATATGTGTGCAAATACATATATATTATATATTATATATATTAATATAAAAGACAAAGACTTGGACTTGGACTTGGGGCTTGGGCGCGGGCCGGGTCGGACCTAAAATAAATATTTTATTTTAATTTATTTCTACAATTAAATCTATTTTATTTTAAATTTATTTGAATAAACAGATGCGTCTGTTTATGAAAGAACACATCTTTTTGAAAAGGTCCGATGGTTGCCTATAAATAGAAGTTCTTCCAACGAAGTGGATATAGAAAAATCTGCAGTATATTCTTGGCTTGTTGTATCCTAAAGAAGATTGTTTGTATTTTTCCAATTTGTATACGGGCAATATCTTCTTTAAGGAAAGTCGTTCTCACGCCTCAAGCCTTCTTCAATTTCGTTTTTGATTATTATTTTTCTAACAATCTTAAAGAAGATATTCTGCTATGGAGAACATTCTGTCCGCTGTTGAAAATCCAAAAGAGTTCATCAAACTCGACCGTTTTGATGGATCAAACTTTACTCGCTGGAAGGACAAGATGATTTTCCTACTGACTGCTTTGAAGTTTTTTTATGTTCTTGATCCGCTTTGCCTGCTTTGCCAGAACCCACTGCAGAAGATTCTGATGAAGTGAAAGCAACAAGGAAGAAACGGGAAGATGATGAACTGCTGTGTCGGAGACATATTCTGAATACATTAACAGATCGTCTCTATGATCTGTATCAAAATTTGAAGTCTCCAAGGGTAATTTGGACGGCATTGCAAAGTGCTTATGAAAACGAGAAACGAGGTATTGATAATTTTATATCTTTAAAGTACTTCGAATTTAAAATGGTTGATACAAAGCCCATCATGGATCAGATTCATGAACCGCAAATCTTAGTTTCAAAACTAACTGATCTTGAAGTTAAAATTCTTGATGCACTTCAAATCGGTGCTATACTTTCTAAACTCCCTTCTTCCTGGAATGACTATAGAAAGAAGATCCTGCATTCTTCTGAGAAATTGACTGTGGAACAGTTTCGAACTCGCATTCAAATTGAAAGTGAGAATCGAATTCGTGATACTTTTATGCAACCTTTGAGTATGTTAGTCAGAATAATAATGGAGATGGAAACAAAAATCTGAAAGTTTCAAATAAGCCTCAATTTAAAAAGAAGAATACTTTGAAATGTCATCATTGTGGAAAGATAGGCCACAAGATCCGTGATTGCAGGTTTAAGAAAGCAGGAATTAACTTTAACCAAGGAAATTCTGGAAACTCAGGAAGGTCTGAAAAAGCAAAAGCAAAAATGGTTGAAAGTTCTTCACAAGGCTTGGTTGCAATGGTTTCTGTAGTACCATGTAATATGGTTACAGAATTAAACATGGTTGCTGCTGCTGTTAAGAGTCAAGACTGGTGTTTGGATTTGGGTGCCACCGTTCATGTATGTTATGAGAAGAATATGTTCAAGACTTATGCAGAAGTGAAGGAACCAGAGAAGGTTCTCATGGGAAATCATATGACTGCAGATGTTGCAGGAAAAGGAAGTGTTGAGATCAATTCACTTCTGGGCAGAAGCTAACATTGCCAAATGTGTACCATGTTCCCGACATGAAGAAGAACTTGATGTCTGCTAGTTTTCTGTCTAATAGAGGCTTCAAGATAGTCATAGAATCTGATCATGTAATAGTATCTAAGAATAGTTTATTTGTTGGAAAGGGCTACACTTGTGATGGCATGTTCAAACTTAGTATTAATGCAATAAACTATGTTTCTGCTTATATTGTTGAGTCCAATTCTTATTTACGGCATGCTAGATTAGGACATTTAACTTTTGGTTCGTTAAATTATATGTCCAAAAATGGATATATTTCTTGCAAACATGATATTGTGAAAAAATGTGAAATATGTATACAAGCAAAAATGGCTAAGAAACCTTTTCGTAAAACTTCAAGATTTAGTGAATTGTTACACTTAGTACATTCTGATATATGTGAACTAAATAGAAAGTTAACCAGAGGAGGCAAGAGATTTTTATTACATTTATAGATGATTATTCTAGATTCATATATGTTTACTTGATTAGAACAAAAGATGAAGCATTTCAGAAGTTTAAAGAATATAAATCTGTTGTGAAAAATCAAAAAGAATACTAAGATTAAGATTCTTCGTAGTGATAGAGGTGGAGAATATGTTTCCTCCGAATTTAATAAGTTTGGTGAAGAGAATGGTTTGATACATCAAACAAGTGCTCCGTATACACCACAACAAAATGGTTTGGCTGAAAGAAAAATACAACTTTAGTTGATATGATTAATGCTATGTTAATGAATGCACATTCACCACATAATTTATGGGGTGAAGCACTTTTAACAGCTTGTCACATATTAAATAGAGTACCTTCAAAAAGCTTACATGTTTCACCATATGAACTTTGGAATAATAGAAAACCTAATTTAGAATATTTTAAAGTGTGGGGGTGTATATCATTCTATAGAGTTCATGATCACCAAAGAACAAAACTAGGTCCTAGAGGAATTAAAAGTATTTTTGTTGGATATGCTCAAAAGTCTAAGGCATATAGATTGTTCGATCTAGAATCTAATGTTATAATAGAATCTATTCATGTTGAATTTATTGAAAATAAATTTTTAGATAACACTGTTGATGAGGAAATGACTGAATCAAATGAAAGTGATAATGATGTGTGACGACCCAAAGGGTCATCACCTGTTTTCTCATTCATCCCGTGCTTCCGAGGCCTTGAAAACCTTATTTTTAGTTGCCTCGATTTGCGTGCACAGTCCGGGCGCGTAGCCGGAAAGCTTAATTATGAATTCTGTGTGAAAAATGATGAATTTTGATATTAATATGAATAAAGTTGACTTTGGTCAACATTTTGGGTAAACGGACCGGACCCGGACCCGGACCCGGACCCGGACCCGGACCCGTGATTGGACGGTCCCGGAGGGTCCGTAGAAAAATATGAGAATCGGGCATATGCCCGGAGTCGACTTCCGAGGTCTAGAGCCCGAGAAATGAATTTTTCTGTGAAATTGTTTTTCTGAAATTAATATGGAAATTTGAAAAGGAAATTGATTAGAACGTGTTGATATCGGGCCCGTATTTTGGTTCCGGCGCCCGGTACAAGTTTTATATGTGGTTTAAGCACTTTCTGTGAAATTTGGTTGAAATCGGACGTCTTTGACGTGTTTCGGACCTAAATATCTAAAAATGAAAGTTTATGAAGTTTGAAGAAAAAGTGATGATTTTGAGGTTTGATTCCTCATTTATAATGTTATTTTGGCGATTTGATCGCACGGTTAAGTTCGTAGGATGTTGTCGAGTTAGGATGTTGTCGAGAGCTTGGGGGTGTTTTCGGAGGTGTTCGGGGTAGTTTTGGACTTAGGAGGATTGCAGAAAATCTGCAACAGGTGCTCAGTGATTTTCTCCTTCGCGTTCGCACTACGCCTCTCGCGTTCGCGAAGCTTCAGCTTCATCCTTCATCGCGTTCGCATCAACTCCTCGCGTACGCGTAGAGTATTTTGACTCAGAAGACTTAGCCTTCACTTTACTCATCGCGTTCGCATTTATATCCTCGCGTTCGCGTAGTGCATAAAGCTCCCTTCATCGCGTTTGCGTGGGTGTCCCCGCGTTCGCATAGACCAAGTCCTGGACCCCCCCCCAGCTTTCTTCTCCGCGTTCACATCATTCCAATCGCGAACGCGATGCCTTGCCCAGTTACCCTTCGTGAACGCGACACTGTTCCCGCGAACTCGAAGGGCAATTTTGCCTAGTGATTTTAAATACCCAAAACAGAACCAGTAACGGGAAATTTCACAAAATACACACGAGTTCATCTTCTCCACAGCCCATAGGCGATTTCTAGAGCTTCCCTTCACCAAAGCTTCTTGGGTAAGTATTGTTTAACTTGTTTCCTTCAATTTCCTTCATCATCTATGAAATTCCTAGGCTCAAATCATGTAATCTAGGGTTGAAATTGGGGGAAATGGGTAGAATGAGGGCTTTTCAATTTTCTTTGATTTAGACCTCGTTTTGGGGTTGAATTTGAAAACAAATTATATATCTGGGCTCGTGGGGGAATGGGTGATGTGAAATTGGTTTGAACCTCGGGTTTTGACCAAGCGGACCCGAGGTCGATTTTGGGATTTTGGGAAGAAAGCTTAGAAAACTATATTTAGGCATTGGGTTTGATTTGTTTAGCTTATATTGATGTTGTAAAGTCGTTATTTCATAGAGTTGATTGAGTTGGAGCCGAATTCAAGAGGGAAGGCGGTCGTTGTGGATTGATTTAGCTGTGGAAGTTGAGGTAAGTGTTTGGTTTAACCCTAGCTTGAGGGAATAAGAGTTGAATCTTGTTTGCTAATTGCTAATTGATTGAGTACGGTGTATAGGCATGGTGACGAGTATCTATACACTGGTGTCTAGCATGACCGTGAGTCCGATTATTGTGTTTATTCCTATTTTGTTGTGACTCTTCCTCGTGTAATTGATGAACTCTATATAATGTGAAGAGTATGGGAAAGAATTATGATTTGTGAACTCTTTGGAGCGTTGGCTCGAATGATAAAGTAATTATTGAGTAAGAAAAGAAAGAAAGAGAGAGAAATGTGATTATTCCCTTGCCGGGCCGTATTCGTATATTGATTACCTCCCTTGCCGGAATGTGAAAGTTGTTATTGTTGTTTCCTTGCCGGGATTTAATTATTTACTTGTATTTCCCTTGCCGGGACTTCAATTACAGTTTGTCTAATCCCTCGCCCCATTGTTTGTGATTATTGTTTGGGTGAGGACGAGTGATAAAGCACGAAGGGTGATGCCGTGCACGATTGTGATATGAATACTAATGCACGAAGGAACATTCCGTGCCCTGTTTTGATTATTTATGCACGAAGGAATATTCCGTGCCCTGATTTGATTACTAATGCACGAAGGAACATTCCGTGCCATGATATGAGTGTTTACGCACGAAGGGTCATTCCGTTCCATCATTTTGTGAGGTAAAGCACGAAGGGTGATGCCGTGCACTTTATATGATTGTTTGGGTGAGAACGAGAGTAAAAGCACGAAGGGTGGTGCCGTGCAACTGTTGATTTCCTACTATCGTTGCTATTGTAGTTGTACCGTTTCATTCCTCAATTATTGATTATGTACCTGAACTGTTACAGCCCCTACAGCATGCATCCCCTCCCCCTTGACTGGTTAATTTCTGTATACCTTTATATTGCATACATATATATATTGAACTGCACAGGTTTGTTTGGTAGTCCGGTCTAGCCTCGTCACTACTTCGCCGGGGTTAGGCCGGGCACTTACCAGCACATGGGGTCGGTTGTGCTGATGCTACACTCTGTGCATCTTTTTGCACAGATCACAGTACCGGAGCAGCAACTTTTGGACAGTAGTAGGAGCATTTGGGAGCTGACTTCAGTCCAGAGATCCCGAGGTAGCCTTGGTGACGTCCGCATGGCCTGGAGTCTCTTCTATCTTTACTTTAGTTTGTTATCCTTTGTACCGGAAAAACAGAACTATGATTTTATTCAGACTTTGTCTTTAACATTCTCTAGACGTTCGTGAGTATGTGACTCCAGTTCTTGGGTAGTGTTGTATTGAACTTCCTCATCGTTCTCCGTTTATTTATGTTTAAGACTTCCGCTTTTATATTAAATGCTTCGTTGCTTTTTTATTGATTTCGACGTTTGCTAAAAGAGATAATAAATAGTTGGCTTGCCTAGCTCCTAATAGTAGGCGCCATCACGACTCCCGAGGGCGGGAAATCCGGGTCGTGACAAGTTGGTATCAGAGCACTAGGTTACATAGGTCTCATAACTCACGGACAAACTCGGTAGAGTCTGAGGGATCGGTACGGAGACGTCTGTATTTATCCCCAGAGGCTATAGAGTTAGGAAAACTTCACTTTTGTTCTTTCTTGTCGTGCGATTCTGTTTCTCAAATACTGATTGTCTTTCTACTCTGTTCTTTCGCAGATGGCGAGAACACGTGCTTCCTCTTCTACCGCGCAGCAGCCCGAGCCCCCAGCAGCAGCGCCTACGAGGGGCAGAGGGCGAGGCCGAGGCCGTGCCAGAGGCCGAGGCCGGGGCAGAGCTCAGCCCCGAGCAGCAGTCCTAGAGGTGGAGCCTCATGTTGATTATGATGAGGAGGTTCCAGCCCCAGCAGCTCCGGTGGGCCCAACTCAGGTCCCAAAGGGGTTTATAGCCACCCCAGTTCTTCAGGACGCTTTGGTCAGGTTGGTAGGCTTTATGGAGAGCGTCTCTCGAGCGGGTTTGCTTCCAGTAGCACCAGCCACTTCTCAGGCTGGAGGAGGGGTTCAGGCTCAGGTTCCAGCGGTTCAGCCAGCTGTGGCAGTTCAGCGGGGCATTGTGACTCAGACCGGCGATGGGGGGGCTATGTCCGCAGATGCTTTGTGGAGGCTGGATAGGCTCACCAAGCTCTTCACCACCACATTCAGCGGTACTTCTTCAGAGGATCCACAGGATTTTTTATTTAGCTGCCATGAGGTTCTTCGGACTATGGGTATTTTGGAGACCAATGGGGTCGACT